GGCGTGGGCGTGGGTGTGGGTGTGGGTGTGGGTGTGGGTGTGGGTGTGGGTGTGGGTGTGGGTGTGGGTGTGGGTGTGGGTGTGGGTGTGGGTGTGTGCGCGTGCGTGCGTGCGTGCGTGCGTGCCGACGGCCCCTCCTCCCACGCCGCTCGCGGGCCCGCCTCGGGCCCGCGTGCCTGCCGGGCGCGCGCGCCTCGGCCCGCGCGGACCCCCCCCCCGCCCTGCCCAACGGCACCGACCTCTCCCGGGCGGCCGTCGGCACTCTCCGGCGGGCGCCCCGCGGCCTCCGCCCGCCTCCTGCGCGGGAGCTGCACGGCCGCGGCTGGCAAAGAGGAAGGGGCCCTGTGGGACACACGAGTAAAAATACGCACAAATACCAGAATGCCCCCAGATTTTCTCGTATTGTCTGGGTGTGTGTGTCTTCCCCCCCCCACTTCCCATAGGTTCGCATCTGTTCGTGGGAATCGACGGTTCATTGTGTCGGTGTGTTCTTTCCCCTCCTGAAAAGAGGCCCGTGATCGCACTTCGGTATGCCCCTCCCTGCAAGGCCAACGAGCGCACACCGCTGGTAGAATCCCCGCTCCCCCCCCGCTCGCCTTCCGCCGTCCTCTGCCGATCCTCCCCCCTGCTCTAGGGAAGGGGGGGGACCCAAAGGTGCCGCTGCCGCTGCTCCCCGGGCCTCTCCCAGGGTGCGCTCTGACTAAAACTTCGAGGGCCCGCCACGAGGCCCAGGCAGGGGGGACACCGTAGCGGTATGGGTACCCGTTCGGCGGGGCCCAAACCTCCCTCCAATAAACCTCCCCTGAATGAAAACGACCTGGGACCGAAACCCACGGACCTGGACCCGCAACAATGACGGCCGCGACGCCCGCTCGCGCACCGAAAACGGCCCATTCCTTAATCGACGTGTCAGGGTAGGAGGTCTATCCACCCTCGATCCTTGGCGCAGGGGGCCACATGCGAACCCTACCCCTACCCCCCACGATTTCTGAGGGGGAGGGTGGGGTTCATTCCGCTCGGGAGCTCCCGAACGAGGTTAACCCCACCCTCCCCCTCAGAAATCGTGGGGGGTAGGGATAGGGTTCGCGTGTGGCCCCCTAACATCTCTTCGCGTCCTGGGCGACGGCGACGGCGACAGGCGACGGCGACGACGACGACCTCGACGTCTGGCGGGGGCTCTCTGCACGGCCGCGGGCCCCCTGGCGGGGCGCGCGCGAGGACGCCACGAGGGGGGCGGCCTCCTAGGAGGGGCGAGCGGCTGCTTCGAAGGCGGGGGGGCCTCCCTGGGCTTCTGGGCCTGGAGGAGGAGGAGGAGGTATCTGGGAGGCGGCTGGGCTTGGAGGAGGAGGAGGAGGAAGAGGAGGAAAAGGAGGAGGAGGAGGAGGAGGAGAAGGAGGAGGGCGAGAGGAGGGGGTGGAGGAGGGGGTGGAAGAGGGCGGAGGAGGAGGAGGAGGAGGGTGGAGGAGGAGGAGTGTGGAGAAGGAGGGTGGAGTATAGGACGAGGACAGGAGGAGGAGGAGGAGGAGGAGGAGGAGGAGGAGGAGGAGGATGGGTAGGAGGAGAAGGAGGAGCGCTTCCGAGAGGCACCCCTGCCTGCTGGGCAGCCCGCCAAGGCTTCTCAGAGGGCCTCCCCTCTCGCGCCGCCCCCGTGCGCGCGCCGCCGAGCTTAATTTCCAGCACGGCATGCCTCGGTAGATGCCTCCCAGATGGGTTCCGAGGAGAGTCGGAGCTAAGCCAGAAGAACATCCCTCAAAAACATGAGACCCTCCGTGGGCCAGAACAAACACACACACACACACATACACACAAAACAGAACCAGCACTGAGGATGCGATGGGCATCCAACAAGCAGGAACAACACTAGGTAGGGTGCCCTCCCCGAACCGACCTCGATCTTATACCTCGGTCCGACCGTAGATGGTGTCGCAGGATCGCGCCGCATTGCCAATGCATGTCCGATGCATCGGCAATGAGTCGGCAACGTCAGCTCGGCGCCATCGGCAACGCATCGGCGTCAGCGAAAACAAAAAACGGGCTCCATACCGAACCGCATCGCCGGTGCACCAGAGATGTGGCGCGATCCTCTGACACCATCTACCGGGTGTTGCTAGACGTGCCCCTGGACCAAGGTGCCGCCAAAACATTTCAAGGAGGCCCCCCTGCCTCCGGAGCACCCCTCACAATGCCCAAAGGGCCCAAAGGACTTCAAAGCTGAGCGAACAACTGTGGGCACCTTGGGCCGGGGGCACCTTTAACGGCGATGTCTTTGATTTCCCCCAATAGCGAGAAACTAAGTACTGGTTCCGCGGGTTTATTGACTGATTGGGGCCAAATTGCGATTGGGTAAGTAAAAATTCCCAAGCGGCTGCCACCGCTGATGATCCGGGGGCGTGGAGGGTTCCTGATGGTGATGATGATGATGATGATGATGATGATGCTGCTGCTGATGCTGATACTGATGATGATCATGATGATGGTGATGATGATGATGCTGACGTTGATGTTGGTGTTGAGTTGATGGTGATGACGATGATGCCGCTGCTGCTGGTGATAATGTTGATGGTGATGATGATTAGGAGGAGGAGGAGGAGGAGGAGGAGAAGGAGGATGGTAAGGACGAAATGGGGAGGGACGAGCTTAACTTCCAGCCAAGAGCTTAGCGGGGGGGCAGCATCGAGGACCTCCTGCGGTTCACAACTCCCGAATCTGCTCTGACCCCGTCTGGAAGGCTGAGATTTGGAGAGGTCATGCACTGCACAGGGCGCCGCAACAGATCGGTGCTCGCTGCCGCACGGCCTCCGGCCACAGCGGGAAACACTGGCCCCCTGATCGGGGTGCCCGCTCGGACTATCGCGCTCCCGGCTTCGGAACGCCTCCGCGGCAGTGCCCGGCCTTCCCGCCTCGCCGATGCTGCGATGCGGGAACTGATCCATATCCGCCCCCTGGGGAAGCGTTGTCCTGAGGCCCCAAGCAGAGGAGCAGAAACAGAAACCACCCTCACAACACGCAGCCCGACCCAAGAGCGAAGCCGTTTAGTGCACGCACCCAAGGAGGAGAACCGAACGGGACAAGGCAGCAGAGTAGTAAACGCCCAGGGTCCTTCAGTAAACGCTAATTCTACGGGATCGGGGTGTTTTTTTCCGCCTACTAGGGGACGGTGGATACGGACATACGTGGGCCCTGTGGGAACCGAATCCCACCCGCCCTCTGGTCATGAGTGGTTTCGCGAACTTGCTCTTCCAACTTACCCAAGGGCGGGTGACAGCGAGCGACACGGCTTGCGGCTTGGGGTAGCTTGATCAATGTTCTCTTTCGAAATACACACAACCCACCATCCTTGCCAAATAAATTTGACGGTGGGACTGCCTGGATACTTATGATAATCGTTTCAGCTTGCCTGGAGATGTCCTCCTTCTCCTCTTGCCTGCTCATCTTGCCTCCTCCTCCTCCTGCTCCTCCTCTGTCTGCTTCCTTTCCTTCTCCTCCTCCTCCTCCTCCTCCTGTCGCCTCCTGTCTACTCCTTGGGCTTTCCTCCTCCTGGGGTCGCCTGGGGCATAATGGGACACCCTTGAGCTTCCTGGGGCCTCCCGGAGCCTTCTGGGGCTTCCCGAGGCACTCCTCTTCCTCCTCCTGCTTCCTCCCTATCCTCCTCATCGTTCTGACTTCTCCTTGGGCTGCTTCCTCCTCCTTCTCCTCCTCCTTTTTCACCACATCCTCCTCCTCATCCTCATCATCATCCTTCACCTCCTCCTCCTCCTCCTCCTCCTCCTCGTCATCCTCCTCCTCCTGCCCCTTCCTGCCTCTCACGGGGCCTCCTGGGGCCTGAGCTTGCCTCCTTGGGCCTCCTGAAGCCTCCAGGAGGCTCCTGGGGCATCCTGGGGCCTCCTGGAGCCTTCTAGCACCTCCTGGAACCTTCTCGGGCCTCTATCTCCATCTCCTGCCGCATCGTCCTCCTGCTCCGCCTACTCTAGTTCGAGACGAAACTTCCTCTCGAGACTTCATCCAGATTCATGCCTCAGGAGCCCCGCAGTGACGACCACTACAAGTTTTGGATCACCTGCTCGGATTAGCAACATGATCTGGCCGCACCATAATGAGGGCACCCGCTCCAGGCATCCTTGCAAACTACGCAGAGGGGAAGCTCCTGCTCGAAACTTCCTCCATACTCATTGCTCAGGAGCTCTACAATGTTTTGAATGGCCCGCTCGGACCAGTAACATGATCTGGCGGCCCATAGGGAATAGCCCCTCCTCGAGACTTTCCCACAGTTCACTCACAGACGAAGCTCCGCCCGAGACGTCCTCCAGCTTGATGCCCCAGGAGCCCAGAATTGACAACAACAGATTTTGGATGACCCGATATGATGACTGACATGATTATGATCGTGACCAGCGACCACCATGGGTTGATGATAGTGATGCGAATGTTGGTGTGCTTGTGATGGCGAGTGTGGACGAGGGAGAGATCGGTTAAGGCGAGAGGTGCGTGAGAGTTTTGTCCTGCGCGGGTTGTCCAGAGAAAAATAAAAGCCAACTTCGGATGTGTGGGAAAACCAGCCGACCCTTCGGCGTGTGTGAGACGCTGTCGTAGTCTTCATCGTCGCCGTCGCCGCCAGTCCGAAAGAAATTGAGGATCGAACCAAAAATAGAAAGGTCGTAATCAAGTCGCTTCCCTTCCCTTTTTCCCTTCCCTGACCAGGAGGGATGGGGGGAGTCCTGGGGAGAGTCCTTCGGCGGCGACGAGAAGGGCGAATAGCCCAGGAGCGGGCATTACACGCATTCGCCCGGGAACCTTGTCGAAGACATGAATCATCGGCGCCCCTGAATACATGTATTGCTCTCCCCTGGACTATTCGCCCCTGTCTTGAGCAAAGACCGACCGTGCAAACATTCCTTCCGTCCTACCGCGAAATGTCTTAGAACCCACAAATGTTCTAAGAACGAAGAAGATGCTCTTACAACATGAGGCCCGTGTGGTACAACAGCACAGTCCCAGCCAAACCTGCTCTGAGAACATTTCGTGGAACCGCAGGAGATTCTTAGAACACTGTTCGGCAGGACCATGGGCGAGCCGGGACGCTTCGCCACTGCTTGACTGTCGTCGCCTCTGAGTCCTGGTGAGGACTGCTAGTCGAAAACGTGCTGGTAAGCTTAGGTATGTGTTACGCTTCAAGCGCTGCCATATCCCAGGCTTTGGCTCATATCGCATGAGCAAGAGAGCGAGACGAAGCATGGGATCTGGAGTAAAGGATAGAAGGGGCATCTTCAATGGAAAAGGTATTTTCCGATCTCAGATACAAGTCGTGCGCCTCGGTGAGGCACAGTCATATATTAGGCCGGGCCCGGCTTGAGCCAGGCACGGCAGCGGTGCATGCTCGATATACACCTCGCCTTTAACCTTCTCCGTTTAAAGTCGGAGGGGGAGGAGACGAGCAGGCACCGCACTTCTACATTACGCGGAAAAAACAGTGCTAGGCAACAGCGGCTGCCTACAAGGCAAGGGCGCGCGAGTAGCCTCGCTACCGGCGAGTTTCCTCGCTACTCGAGCGCACCTGCATGCGGGTTTCCCCGCTAGCTCGGGAGGCAGGGCCGTCCTGAGACGACCTGCCCGCCCTATACGGAGTATGTTTCTTCAGCTCGTGCTTGAAGGATTGCTGGCCGGCCATTACTTGTAGGAGCAACGCGCGGTCAATACTACCTTTGGTATGACCATCGGCAGTCATATCCCGCGTGTCACACCATTGAACGCTTTCAACGATTCCGCGCTCCATCATCTGGCGGATCCAGCTAATGTGCCCAAGCAGAGTACATTCTGTGGGCTTCTTCAGATCTTTGCTAGACAAAGACTTGAAGACAGACTCGGCATCAATAGTCAGAGTGACTTTGATACATAGACCACCCATTTCCAATATGTTCTTTAACTGTGTGGGGGTCAATGGTCCCGAGTGTAGCTCGTGGAGCGTTACAATGGTCGGGTAGCAGTCTTCCAAGTTGTGGGCTGCTGCCAGTGTTTCCGCAGAGTAGCTCGAACGCACCTGCAGTCGATGAGACTTGCAGTATGCGTCCACCAGGTGCACGACGGGTTTCCCCGCTTGCGTGTGGCCACGCCTCAGCAGGTTAGCCCCGCGGATACCATAGCCTTTGACTTCGTCGTCTTCATCTCCGTTGAGACGACGATAGCCAGAATCGCTATGCAGGTCGACTTCTCCTGTTGGAGTCATAGCTTGATACACGATCTTCTTCGGACCTGCCTGTAGTTTCCTGGTAACCGCGTTTAGTCGTCGTACCTGGATGTTTGTCGGTTCCTGGATACGTTGTAGTGAGACAACATAGACCATCAGCCATACCTGCGTGATCAACGCATAGGCTAGAGCGCCACGAAGACTGACGAACATATCAGAAATCGTCTTTGTCGCTTTGCTCTCAGGATCAGCTCCTGTGAGTTCTGGATGTGTGATAGGACGAAGCTGTTTGATGTATTCGTCCTGATCAAGAGTGACGCTCCCATCATCGGTCTTGTTGTACCGAACGGCACAGTTTGTGTATGTGTGCTTGTTCAGTTTGCACTTTCCAAACGTATCTTCAACACACTTGACATACTTGTCAATAGCATCTTCCTTCCCAGTCATATTGATGTCATCAACGTGTTTGGCTGTCAAGAGGTTTGGGCTCATCTCGAACTCTTCGTCGTAAGAAGTAGGCTGTAGCCCAAAGCTCCTAGTGATGGACCTGAGCTTCAACGAGAATGCCCTGGGAGCATCCTTCGTGCCCGTCCCCGGCTTCAGACACCGAAGACAATGCTTTGATTCGTCATATGACTCAAAGCCTGGCAGTGTGCGAAGGACAGCTGCTGACCCAGGAGGTAGTGTGAAGCACACCACACGCTCTTTCTCGCCCGTTGCCGCGGCGAGCTCGCTATAGGTCAGTCCCTTCAAGAAAGCCATGTTGATGTCCAGGGAAGCGATGATCCAAGCTTTGTTGCATGCAGCAGAACTTGCGAGCAGTCTCTGGCTTGACCTCCTTGCCGCGCCAGAGAAGGTTTCGACATCAAAGGCTTCAAGGCCCATGAAGCCACGGAGTGCCAAGCGTAACCTGATCGTCCTTTCCATTTCGCCCTTTTCGTTCTTAACAAACTTCCATTTGTATACGTAGCGTGAAGTCATGATGTTAGACGCTTTGCTCAAGTCAGTCATCTGGAAGCATTTGTTGTCAAGCCAAGTCTTCAATTCTGTGTATAGGGCTTTGGAAACTTTGACCGGGTTCGCTTGAATGTCGGCCTTCGTGAGTAGATCGTCTTCCTTGACGACCACGGCACGTTTGGAGGCAGCACTAACGTATACTCGCATAGTTGTGACGCTGCTGTCATCCAACAATCGGTGTTGCTGCTCGGACAGGACGACTTTGGACATGTCTGCTGTGAAGCAGAGCTCGATGTACTTCCCGTGCTCATCGGAATCCAGATCATATTTGCTGTCCGGATCCGTGGAGCACAAAGGAACGTAGTAAGCAGTGTCCATGTCGTATCCTGGCGGGTGACCCCGCTCCGGCAAGTGGCCTTGCACATCTTCACAGGTCGTAGAGACTAACACACACTGTGTGTCTGTCATGTATGTCGGAACTGTATGCATGACTTCTTCTGTGTCAGCTTCAAGGAGTGTTCTGTCATCCATCAGTTCAGCATACCACGACTTTAAGACAAAGGCATCCAGATCTTCTTCTGTTTCCTCTATGATGGTCGGGAGCCGACCATCGTTCTCCGCAGGAGGCTGCTCAGGAGCAGCTGCTGGAGGTGACTCGCTTGGTGGTGGACCATCAGCGAGTTCCTCAAACTTAGTGAGGTCTCGGTCAAATCCAGCAGGCGGCTTCTTGGATTTAAGACACTGGATGATGCGTGAGTGTGTAGATCCTGTGAT